GCTACACGTGTACCTTTCCATTGTCTTCCACGGAAGTGGGATTGCAATTTTTTTTCCTTTGGAGCTGAAATTAAAACAAATTTATTAGAGAATACTGAATGTCAAAGTTGCAGGAGATCATGCCCAGTGCCATGTTTGGAGGAACAGGAGCAAGTCACCAATAAATTGGGAGCTGTACAGAGCAGGGGAAAGCAATTTGGGAAGGGATTCAAGAGATCAAGCTTTTCTGGCAGCTACTTCCTCAGTCAAATCATTAATTTTTGTTAATCCTTTGCAAAAATCTGGTGATTTGGGAACAAAATTTTACAGTATTTCAGTCTTGCCTTAAGAGGCCAAATCCAATTACTGGATAATGGGACTTTGGCCTGCCAGGAGCAGAGACACTTAGGAAGATGTGGGTTTATATGGGGGGTTTCTTCTTATTTCATTAATGGATTAAAACCTACCCCACCCTTAAGTCTGCACCAGGAACTCTGTAAGCAGGAGCTACACTGGTCTGGAAATCAAATGGAGCATGAAACCCCTGTTACCATCCCTGCAGCTGATGGTCATACTGTGCTTTTGGGCTATTCCCATGACTCTGTGCCCATGGAGCTTGGCTGTCCTGGCTCACACTGTGTCCCCAGAGCTGCTGCAGGGCCATTAGATGGGGCAGGCTGGCCCAAGGTGAAGCCTGCAGAGCCCCAGGGATCCCCCTGCTCAGAGACACCCCCAAAAACTGCACTGCAGGAGGATCAGTATTTTGGAGGTGTTTTGGCAGAAGGGAAAACCTCTTTTTTAAACCCAAGTTATGCTTGTGGAAACTAAGACTGCTTTTCACGTGTTTTTCAGACTACCTGCTCTGAGGACAGTTATAAACAAACCCAGGAAAATTATTTTGAAGAAAGAAACCAAATAGGGAAGAAGAAAGTGGAGAAGAGGTAGAGCTGCTGGCGAGAGCTTGATGCCCTGGACTGCAACTCCCTGCCACTGCCCCCCCCCCACTCCCTTTTTTAATTACAAGCAGCCAAACTGTAAAGACCTTAATGGACATCTTAATTATTGCATTAAAGTTTGAAATGGAAAATTCCTCATTACATGCCACGCAGTAGGTCACGGCTGCAATAAACGGTGATATTTTGCTTGTTACAGGACTGGGTGCCCTTTGCAGAACTGGTGTCTTTGGGGCATGTCCCGGCCCTGGGGAGCTGCCAGGTGGATGTTAGATCAGGTCTCTGCTGTGAGAGCATCTGCTTGTGTTTTCCAGGCAAAACTATCACCAAGAAGTGCTCTTTGCTATTCCTTTTCTCCTCCAAATAGGGCTATTTTTCTCCTGTGTTTTGCTTTCCATCTGCTTGAATGTGTTTATTGATTTAGTGTTATGCAAACTGCAATAAAACAGTATCCTTCTAATGATCTCCAGCCAGCTATGGAATATTTCCCAAACAATTTAAGTACAAACCCACCCCCAGCAGCAACACAATGTCCCTGTCATTGACCAGCCTTTAAGCCCAGTCACAAATTCTCAGATCCTTTTGCACTGTGCCTGTCCCTGCTTGCTCCAGGCAGGCTGGAAAGCTCAGGTCCAACCTGTGACACAGACAATTTAAGGAATGTGGCAGAAAAAAAAGCTCTATCTAACCTAAAGGACCTGAAAGGTCAAAATAGCTCATGTGTGTATGTCAGAGGTTGTTTATACCTTTATAAGAGGAGCAAAAGGACAGGAAAGGTTGAAGATAACTTGCATCCAAACCCTAAGTCATCTTCAGCATTGTTTTCATACCACCAAGTTCCATGTTGGGGTTTTTTTTCTGAGCACATTGAGGAGAGAATTAGAGGACTGCAGAACTTAGAGATATTCTCTTGATTACACGACCCTACAGATGAGGTGTTAAAATTCCTTTCAGTGGCTATTTCTCATTCTAAAATGCCCCCCAAACTTTTCCTCCGCCCCCCACCACTAACTGTACAATTGCCATGTGAGGGGTCTCAGCAAACCTGGGACAGCAGATCCTGGGACTCCCCAGGGCAGCTCTGGTGGTGAGAGCCACCAGCCAGGGCTGCTCCTCGGCAGGGCCAGGCTGTGCCAGCTGTGCCCGCCGTTCCAGCTGTGCCAGCCAAACCATCCGCATCACCACACTGCCCGTGCCAGCTGTGCCAGGGCCAGGCGCGGCAGCTCTCGCCGGCCAGGAGCTGCCACTTCCCAAATCTCACAGCTCCCTCTGTTGGCATCTGTTCGAACCTATCAGCGTGGATGTAAAAAAAACTGGCAATGCATTTTTTTTTCAGCACTGTCTCCACGTGGAAGGTGATCTGCCTGCGGGGTGTATCCCACCTAACGCAAGAATCACTTCGTTTGTATTATTACTCTCAGGTGATATTGGATCACGGATGCTGTACTGACCCCAGCTCTGCTGAAGGCAGCTTTTCAGTCATTTTTCCAAAAGCAGTGAGATGTAGCTGGCTGTGCTCAGGGCCTGATGTAGGAGCACACATGGGGCTGCTGTGAGAACCTGCCAGCCCAGATACTCTCCCAGCACAGCCTCCCCTAAGGAGTTAATCACATCAAATATACTTGCCTGTCCCTTACTGATCACACAAATTAACACCTCTGCAGTCAAAGGATAACCACAGTCTGCAAATGATTCGCTGCTTTTATTTTTTTTTCAGGTCCTTCTGTAACAAAAACTCAGACCACAAGCTTTGGCAAGGTGGCTTAAACAAATAACAGAACAGGTCTGCAAAATGGTTTCAGCACTTCACCAATGAGGTATGAGGATAATGAAACATAAGCTCAAGTCAAATACTTAACTTGTTAGCCAGTTACAGAGACAGACAACCAGGACGGCCCACTGGAGTGTTAGCTGCATTTACAGAGGAGGCACAGCCAGCCACCTGACCTTCCTTTGAAGATCTCAGTTCCAAATTTCCCAGCTGGCAGAGCCAAGGGGTGGCCAAGCCGCCTGGTTCAAATGTGAATGATTTAAACTCATCAACTCTTTCACAAGAAATGGTGCAATCAGCAAAGAGAACTGCAAAAGATCAGCAAAGATTGACTCCTTGTGCTCCTGACCTGCAACACTGAACAGCCAGGGAAGACACTAAAGAAAAAAAAAAAAAACACAAAAAACATCTTTTTTTTTTCTGTGCCACTATAGAAAAGGCCATGCAAGCAATCTGCTCAGACTGGACAAAGGACAAGCTGGCAGAGATGGCTGCACAGCCTCGGGCCTCTTTGGCAAGCCTGGTTGTGTTTGCTCTGAGTGTTACCCACTGATTTTAAGACTTCCCACCAGCCTTCCTGGTCCTGGCTCTGCAGCACTGCAACAGCCCAGACACAGGGTGGCACCTATGGTAGCAAACAGCCTTTTAGAGAAAAAAAAAGCACAGAAGGAGAAAAAAAATACTTTCTTATCTCTCTATCCCTAATCAGGCCACATTGATTTTTTATTCTCTTGAGAAGATATCAAGCAGTTGCACCTTTCTCTCTTAATATGCCCAGCTCAGTTTAGTGACACTCATTAGTGTCTCTGCAATCAAAAGGCTGTCACTATTTTCACTACAAATCCACCTATTCAGAAATTTAACATGCCTCCAACAGGTCTTCCAAGAAGAAATCTGGCCAAAACAAAAGGTGAAGTAGGAGATAATTGGGTTTTTTTTAAGGACAATGAACCTGAACCTACAGCTTTCCCCGCACTGCAAAGTCCTTGAGAAATCTGCTCCTCAGTCTGAGATGAAGTTTTCTGCTAAGCACTGGAAAAATCAAAGAGAACCTTTCAGCCTCAAGCAAGGGGCAGGAGGAAAAGCAATGAATTGCTTTAATATGAAATGTCACATTAAAACTTCACCCTACAAAACCAAATACTGGAGGCTGGTAGATACTCCCCTTTGAGAAATAGTGTGGGATTTGGTGGGAGCACCACTCAAAATAAGCATGCAGAGTCAGGCCTCAAGTACATAAAATATAGAATTTGGTGCTTATATTCTAAAATATTTATAAATAACTTAAGACATTCAGGCTCAGAGGTGTCTACAGCCAAGTATTTCCCTCTGACACGGGGAACCACAGGGATCCACATCCCTATGGATCCCCAATGCAGAAATTTGGTTTATGCTCAACATAGAAACAAAACCTGCCCGTGTGAGGCTCTTTGGAAAGTCTCCCTTGGCCCTTTGAGAGCACACGGAGGACACACCTAATCCAGCAGAACGCATTTGGGGCTGTAGATCTACAGCACAGAATGTGACCAGTTCTTCCTGTACATTCACAGCATCTGGCAAAACAGCTCCTGGGGGATTCCTCGGCTGTTCCTGCACCACGAGGTGAGCCCAGCTAAGCCTGACCCCGGGGGATGGCAGATCAGCTCTGCTTTCATGGTGGAGCTGGCCTGCCTGGGCTCAGGGCTGGGGTAAAGCCACCTGGGAGAGGAGGGACACCTTGAGCTCTGTCCTTGAGCAAAGACAAGGTTTGCCTTGGAGTGCTCTGCTCTGCAGCCTCCTGTCAGGACTGACACAGCCCCCGGATCCACTGCAGACATCCAGCCAGACATTCCCTGAAGGGAAGCCTGGAATTCATGTCACAACCCTTGGACACCTGGCTGGCTGCAAACAAAGGCACGGGAGGGGGGTTAAGGTCAGAGGTACATTCGTTGGGACAATCCCTGTCACGCAGTTCAGAGGACACGTGTGGCACAGCAGCCCAGAGATGGATGGTCAGAGGACAGCAGAGCGGGGGGGACCTGCTCCTGCACGGAGAAGCAGCTCCCCCTCAGCAGGGCATGGAACCACAGCAGCCTTGGGAGACAGGTCGGGTAACCTCCTTTGGCCACGTGGATATTTGTCCACCAGACACAAACTGGGACAAACTGGTCCCACAGACCATATCCTCACTGGAGATGTTGAGCTGGATGGCTCTGCAAACCACCAGCTATGCCCTGAGCAAAAAATGAACTCTAAAAATTTTTTCTGTCATGGGTTCCATCCAGACCCACTATGTACTTGGTTTCAGCATATTTTTTCCCGTTAAAACACCTAAAAAAAAAGTTAAAATGTTCTTTGGCACTTGTGCAACACAGACGTGACACTCTCCTGTCCTTCGGCTGCTCGCTGGGCTCATCTCTAGAGATCCACGTAAGCAGAGTCTGTGTCCACCCTCTGGGCCTCTCCAAACAGGAGGAATACACAGAGCCCAATGCTGTTAACAGCAGCCACCAGGTTGAAAACAGAAATCCAGGAGCCAGTCGTTTCAATCAGGTAACCAGCCAGGTACACACAAATGACACCTGTGACAGAAGAGAAGAGAAAGACATGCAAAGGCTCTGGGGCTGGATCCTGCCCTCTGCAGGGAGAGGGCCCTCTGGGAAAGGATGAGCTGCAGGAAGGTACTTTACCTAGGAGGGCTCCACCTGTATTTGCAACCCCTGGAAGGAAAAGAAAGAAATTGTGTGTTCAAAACCCACGGACATGAGCAGCTTCATCCCGGCTCCCACCAACCCCCAGTCTGCACATCTGGCAAAATGCCTTGTTGATCTCAGAATCACAGAATGGTTTGGGTTGGGAGGGACCTTAAAGCTCATCTCATTCCAAACCCCTGCCATGGGCAGGGACACCTTCCACTAGACCAGGTTGCTCCAAGCCCTGTCCAATCTGGCCTTGGACACTTCCAGGGATGGGGGAGCCACAGCTTCTCTGGGCAACTCACAGAGACCACTGACGTGCAGCACCATCCCAGCCCTGGGTGCAGGTCCAAAGGCACGTTGGTGCCATTTTACCTGCCCCCAGCACTGGCAGGTTTATTGCAGAAGGAAGCTGAAGCTGCACACATAGAGTAGACATTGCCCAGAGCCACCCTCACTCAAACCTTGACCGTGTCCCACCCACAGATGCCACCTCTCCAGCATGGAAAGCCCACAGAATTCTTACCAAACAGCAAACCAGCACAGGAGGGGGCCAGGTCCTGCACGTTTACTGAAATGCCACTGGTGAGAAACAGAGAGGGGGAAAAAAAAGGCTGTTTGAATGAACATGCCTGTTTCTTCATCATTTACACAGAGACTGGTTTGTGAAACACAAGGAAAGGTTCTGGACAAGAAATGGCACAAGAAAGGAGTAGAAGCTGAGAGTGAAGCAGTACAGGTGAGTATAAGAAGGAAAACAATTCAACTCAAAGCATTCAGAGGGGCCAAAATGCAATTCCCCTGCTTCATCTTTCTAATACTGGCTGGTCCAAGCCCTTTCCCACACTAGAGGTTTGCTGGATCATTTCCACCCCCCCAGGCACTAAACTCCACCGGATTCACACACGATGCTCAGGTAAGTGCCAGTTCTTTTTCTGACAGGCAGGATGGAGGTAGCCTTGCCCGAGACCCCAAAATGCCAAGTGTGGGATGAGAGCAAAGGGCCACAGCTCCTGTTCCCATCGCTCTCCTTACCTGTGGTTAAAGGTCTGGAGTCCAACAGAGGCAGAGGCAAACACTATTGCTTTGCAAAAACTGGAGGTCTGGCCCAGACACAGAGCAAAAACGCTTGAGACGCCAGAGCCAATGACCTGGAAAAAAGGCAAAATTAAACACCACAGCACATTTTCTGTAAGGAAGAAAGCAAATTCTGTCACGAACAAACCGTTCCCTTTTCCAATGCAAAAGCTCATGTGCACCAGGTGCTTCTCAAGCCTTTTTTTTCCCCCAGTGTCCTGCCCTTCTGTGTCAGACGTCTGTCCAGACGGATGTGATGCTGCAGAGCAAAGGATACACTGTGTTCTCACCCAGCATTTCTATTTTTGTTCACCCTTGTATTGCTACTTCCTCAGTATCTGAGGGCTCATTCAGAGTGCTGGTGTGACAACTGGGACAGGTTGGCCTTTGCCTGTGAAAGAAAACCCCTTCAGAACACTCACTGTGCTCAGTGTTACCATTAGTCCATTGTTAACAGAGGTCCACGCTCTGTTCCTCAGCCAGGGTTTTCCTCTGGATTTCCTTTCCCACACACACTGACCACCAATCAACTGGCAAAGCCAGAAAACCTTCCCTCTTTCCATCTATAACCCCCAACCCAGTTCCATACAAGGTCTAGTCTGACATGTAAGTAGAGCTCAGAAGGTAACTTGGGTGTCTTCTCCTGTGGCTTCAGCTCTCTTACCTGCATGAACTTACGAATGGTGATGGTTCTGTACCCTGAAAGAGGAAGGGAGAGTTGGAGTTCAGCACAGCTCACCAGGTTCTCCTTGTTCTCCAGCCAGGAGACCATAGGGTAAGTGGATTTCAGATGCCATCTCCATGTGGATATTATGACTGAGATCAAAGGGAGCCTCAAACATATGGATGGGATTTGGACACTGCAGTATTCATTCTGCTGTTGTACCAGATCCTCACATTGTCTATGTGCTGGGTCTTGTCCCTACTAACAGGCCCATCTCCTCCTACCCACGTCCTCTCTCCAAATCCCATAAAATTAGATCTGATGAAAAGTCAGAAGGGCTCTTACCTTGACTGATTAAATGATCAGACAGAAATCCACTGAACAAGCTTGTTGGAATTGCAACCAGCCAGGGGATTACATTAAACACCCAACCCTGAAACAGAGTGAAAATCAAGAGAGGTTTGTCAGAGCTGAGTTTGTTTGCAAATATTTTATTTGACAGTCCATAGTATCTGTAGAAAGGGGGAAAAATGAAGCACTTGGGACTTGTTGCAGCATCTGTACCCCATTTGCAGGGCCAGCTGTCAGCTGCATCCCACTCCAAGCTCTGTAAGGGGGCAGGTGCATCACAGGACATCACAGTAGCATTTGTAGGTTTGCTGTCTTTCCTTCTGCCCTGGTGACTCTTCATCCAGGGGAGAGGCAAAAAGCTCTGAGAAAGAGGGATTAAATGTGGCAAAGTCTACTACTCAGCACAATGATGTGGCAGAGAGCCAGAGAGCCTGGGAAGCTCACTGTGGGTTTCCTGTGGGTCACCAGCAAAGCAGAATTTCCAACAGCTCCAACCTCATTAGCAGCGTTACTGTGAGGCTGAGGGAGTGTAGCTGGATTTTCTAATGGCAGGATTAGGTAACATTATGGGTAGTAACATACTTTGGCCTATTTTCAATTAAGTGAGCTTGCTACAGCTGTAATCACAGCCGATTACTGGTCAGCTGGATTACAGCTGCTCAGGGGCACTTCGGTGCTCAGATCCCACAAGGAGCTGAAACCAGTGTGGGTTGGGCTGGGCTTCATCTCAGCTCCTTTAAACCTACTCATCCATGCATCCATCATCCATCCATCATCCCCTGCACGTCTCCCTTTGCTCAGTGTCCATCACCCCGTGGAGGCATCTCCCCTTCCTGCCTGGCTTCGGGATATGTGGGAGAGCTGAATAATCCTGGGTTTGAATAATATTGTTTCAGCTGCTCCTGGAAATCATACCAGGGTCCATTTGCATCTTTCCATGCCTTTGAAATTTGGGTCTTGGTCGCTTTTGAGAATATTACCCCATGGGGTTTGTGGGGCAATGCCTCTATAGTCTGTTAACACCAGCTGGGGTTGCTCAACACGACAATCCCAACGCACCTTGTCTGATCCCTCAGCCCATCACCCTGATCCAAACCCTCCATCACCTCCACTCAGGCAGGCTGGAGGCAGCTGCCCAGACAGAGGTGAGGCAGCTCACCTGCAGAAAGGGACTTTGGCCAGCAGGTGACACAGGTTTCCCACATTAGGGATTATTGTCCATCCTTTGAAAACCAGGCATCCTTGAACCACATTTTAAAATACATGAAGCGATTATCAGCTGCAGACACACTATGTAGAGCATCTTACATAAGGGCACCGTGATATAATGCTTAACAGATGGTAAATTACTGCTGCACAAGCACATTACTCGAGGTGCACAGATCTTGTCACAACAATATGTTTGCCGGTTTAATACACGATTTTAATATAAATATCAAGTATGCCATAAAGAGCTTTACATCTGTAATATGAAAAGGCATTTGTAAGCAGCTCTGGAAATTGTAAAAAACCTAACAGAGCCATTGTGGAAAAAGACTCTGTGAGTTTCTGAGAACAAGATGAAAATACCAGCTCTCAGATCAGATAAGTATTGCCTGGCTTTCTGAAAAATGGGAACACCATTTGTGCTAAGGAGAGGGAAGCTTTTGTAGTATTTTCAAAGCACACAGTGTTAATGGTAATTTTAATTTTAGCAGGCAGGTCTGAGCTGTACAATGTCAGTCCAGCTAAAGACCCTGTGAAAAATCAGGAGTGAATGGTGGTTATTTGCAACAGCAGAATGTCATGAGCTCTGTGCCATTTGAAAACTGCAGTTTCCTCAGAAGAAAAGCAGCCTAAACCCCAAATATAACCTGCACTTCCCAGCCTGGAAAGTGCCCCAGCTCTGCCTCCCCTGAGCATCTCTAAACAAACAACTAGAAACCAGCCTCTGCAACCTGGAGGGAAGATGCTGGCACCTCCGAATGTATGTGCAGGGGTGCCACGGCTCCTAATCCTGCATGAAAACCTCCCACCCCCTCCTGACTCCCAGCCTGCTCTCACCAAATCCCTCTGCCATCACCTTCCTCCCTAAACAACCCATTTTGGCAGGTACCCAGCACGACCCCCTTTGAACAGAGAGCAGCAATGTCTGTGCCTCAGAGCCAACCTACCTTTGACTCGGGAAAAGTTTCCTTAAAGAAAGTTGGCAACCAGGAGAGGAGAGTGAAGAACGTGCTGGCTGTGGAGAGCTGAGCAATGATGACAGCCCTGAAAATACACAGTGGAGAGGAAACAATCAGGAGTGACAGGTCACACTGGGTGGGAAACGGGCACTCGAGCAACCCAATATTTCAGTTCCTGGTCTATAAAGAAATCTCTCACAGCACTGCAATTGCTTCCTGAGGTTTTTCTCACAGATAACAACTCCTTTTGACTTTCTCTCCTTTGCAGCAGTGCTGGTTCCTTCGCTGCCCCATCCCACAGTGCCTGATGTCAGCCCCAGGCTCAGGCAAGGTTCACTGCAGTGATAATTATGCCAGTGCATTTCCCACCGGTCCCTTCCAGTGCTACTAGAGTCCTTCTGCTCCAAGAGGTGTTGTTTAGGGTTTTCTAGGGTTTTGTTATCAGCTCCATTGTTATTCAAGGCAGGAATGGGCTTATTGCCCTGCGTCTTAAAACAGCACTTGAGAACATGCTTGGAGGAGCTTCAATACCCATTGCAGTATCCCAAAGGAAAAATGGCCATTAAAAAGATGTTTGCCAGCGATGAGAACACAGCCTGTGCCACTCAGTGCCCCACTGCAGCACTTCTTAGGAGCCCATTACAAGCAGCATTTCTAACAAGATCGGTGGAGAATATCAGTCTGGAGGAGCACACGACCCATCCAGGGGGAACAGCCTGGGAAGGAGAAAGATTTGCCAGCAACATACAAGCCTGACAGTCCTCTGGACAGAACAAAAACCACCTTTTGCCAAGCTTACCTTTTTAGTTCTTTATTGATACAGAAGGCATTAGAAAACCTGGTTGTTTCCCAAATATTTAAATAAGTGGACAAAAACTACAGAGGCAGAAGAAATAAGCCCAGACAGGAGAAAAAGGAGGGTGCTCCCCAGCCCAGCTGATGCTCAAGGCCACTGCAGCTCCCTACCATATTGGTGCCTTCCTAAAGAGCTGCTTCCAGGAAACTTTGGTCTGCTTGGGTATCGAGAGGCCTCTCGTTAAATAGTCTATGGGGATGATGAGTTCTGCAGGGAAGAAAACAGGCAAACGAAAGCTCTGATCAGTAACTGTCTGTGCAGCTGGAGGCAGCCCTGGGACACTGCTATACAACTACCTTCAATCTCCTTGTTTTTTGGTCTTGTTTTTTTGGCTATGCCACCACTGAATGCTCATGAAAACACCTTGTTACGTTGACCAAAATTTTTCAGCTGCATCCACACATTTTCCCACTCAGCCACTTTCACCCACTTGCATCCCTTGTAGTAATTAAACGAAAATCCCCTGGGCAGGGACCACATTTGAATTCTGTGTAGCACCAGACACACACCCAGCTCCTGATGAGCTCGGCTTCTACACATCATGCTCACATCAATAATGTTGTAGCCAGGTGTCATGGCTTGTCCATATGCAGAATTACTCCCAGACAGTTATTTCGGAAGAGATATTCTGGATTAATGGGTTTTTAAAAGCCCTATGTGTAGATGCTCTTAGTTGTGAATAAGTATCTTGTCCTGCTTTAGCTTAATCCACTTTGAAGATCATGCTCTGTTTTGTGTTTTCACTGGTGCTTAAGAGTACTGAGGAGCCAGATCAGGGATGTAATCCAGCGTGGGACTTGAAACAGGAAATCAGCATTGAAAGAGCTCAAAACCTCATTTCTGGGTTGGGGGTCTTGGGTGAGACACAATGTGCATTACAGAAGACACCTGAGCAAAAGGTCTTTGTGCAAAACCAGGCATGATCTTGGAAACACAGAGGATTTGCAGAAAACAACAGAGAGGAATCATTCAGTTCCCAGAGCCTTGGGAGCACTGGCAACCCCAGGGATGCCTGGGATTTACCTTTCTCACTCAGGAGGTACTTGCAGGTGCAGTAAACCCAGAGCAAAGTGAGCAAACCGGAGAAGTAGAAAACGCTTTCCCAGCCATACCAGTCCAGGAGGAGGGATCCTGCACCACCAATCACCAGCGTCCTGCAAGGGAAACCACTTGGATTTACTGGTCTGGCCAAGAGTGCCTGGACTGTGCACATCAATGGGAGATGGTCCCTGGGGTCAGCGCTGCATATCACTGAGCCACAGAATGGGTTGGGTTGGGAGGGACCTTAAAGCTCATCTCATTCCACCTCCTGCCATAGGCAGGGACACTTTCCACAAGACCAGGTTGCTCCAAGCCCTATCCAGCATGGCCCTGAACACTTCCAGGGATGGGGCAGCCACAGCTTCTCTGGGCAACCTGTGCCAGGGCCTCACCACCCTCACAGGTGAGAATTTCTCACTCACTGCATGTCCAGGTGCTGCCCACCTGCCCAGTCCCCCTGTGACTCTGAAACCTGCCCTGTTCCCTGAGTGGCATCTCAGGTCATATCCTCACTGGGCAGGAGAAACCCCAAGAGGCCTCATCCTCACCTGCCCCATCCTGAAACATGGACGAGGAAAGAAAAGGAGGTTGCTGGTGTGCAGTATCTCAGAGAATGCACAACACAGCAAAAGAAATGAGCACACTGGAAAACTAAGTGATTAAACACAGTAATATTTCTATTTAGCTTTTAAGAAATCCTCCTATTTAGAAAGGAAATTCTGATGGAGACCAGCAGAGAAGGGGAAGTTCTATTTCCCCCACCTATCAGAGTGGACAGGTGACCAGTCTCAGGCTGACCCTTGCTCTTCCTACTGAATCAAACTGTTTCCCATAGTACCTAAATGTTGCGAACACTCTTCAAAGTCTGGTTTGAAAAGGAAGAGAAAACAATACATAAATCCTTGACAGGCACGACAGCAACTGCCTGAGGCTTCCTCAGCTGCAGCCGGTGTCCTTGAGGACCCGTGAATCCACATGTACTTTGGGCTGTGAGTTTTGCCTCCAACTATTTAACGGCATTTCATCACATATGATGTCCAGAGACTGTCACTCACTGCTCAAAGGCCTTTGAACTCACCCAAACTGTGAGCCAGTCCCCACTGTGCTGTAGGTGAAGGCTCGCTCGCTCTCCCGGACCCTCTGGGACAGCAGGCTGGCCAAGGATGGGAAATACACCCCTGAAAGCAACGGGAGCAAGGCAGGGAACAGTCAGGATTGTCGGCAAATCAAAAGCAAATTTAAAAGATCCAGAAGGGGAACACTGAGATAAAGCAGCAAAACCTTTGGTGGATTCAAAACAGGGACATAAAATAAACTAAGTGGACCCATCGCCATGAAAGGTTTGTTTGTGCCTCCTCTGTAATCCCCCATTTCACCATCACTGCAACTGCTACTGTAAATCCATCAGTGTCAAGGCACCTCCTCAGTGCTGTAGCTTGACAACAGGGATGGAAAATCATCCCAAATTATCCAAAAGTTTTGGCAAGAGCCGATTTTCCCCAAGTACTTTGAAGGAGTTTGAAAACGTGGAAAATCAAACAGCACCAGTGATGATTTCCAAAGCCAGCAGCCCCTGTCTGGCAGAGAGATTTCTACAGGGGAATGACTTGTCAGTGACTTTCTCTAGAAATGTCACTGTTTTTTCCCATGGAAGTTCTGGATGTGGAAGCAGCTTTGAGGCAGAGAATTGCTCAGACACACAGGGGAAGGGTTCATTCACTGCAAACCACAGGATTTGAATCTGAATGTGCTGCACATGAATCCCTGTGCAACGAAGCCCCCCGGGCACACAGAGACACAGGACAGGGGTCTCACCTTGCAGCAACCCCATGAGGAACCGGGAGGAGGTCATAAAAACAAGATGGGCAGAAGTGATGTGGGTGAACACCGGGGTGAGGACTGTGAGGAACCCCCAGGCTGATGCTGAGAGGAGGAGGACTTTCTCACCTCCTATTCTGGAAGACAGAAAACACGTTATCAAAGGTGAGAGGCCAAAAGGGCAAAGTGCTCCAGTCAAGACTCAAGTGCCCTTCCCAGTTTAGCCAGTTTTCACAAACAACTGTTGGGTCAAACCTGTTCTTCTCTTACATGTCTTTAGCCCCTGGCAAGGAGTTCTGATCTCCTCCCTTCTCACCTCCTGCTAGTGCTGCCTGTCCAACTCCAGCACACACTGATCCCAGAGACCAAACAGCACTGACATACTCGAGTCTCTGATGGTGATGGAAGAGAAACCCAAGTGCTGCCACTATTCTGCTTCTCTTAACCAGTGATGGTGTTTTACATCTGCCTTTTTGCATCATCTCTGCCTTTTAACATTCAGGTTTTTGCAAGTGTTTGCTTGGAAACTATTCAGGACCATAACTAAATAGCACAGTGCACTGCACAGGTAATGTACTCCTTCCAGGCATGTGCTCCTCACAAAACATTTCACAGGAAAGCCCCCCTCGCTGAGAATGGGGTGGTTATGGAAAGGAACCCAGCAGGCAATGATTCAGATCTTCCCTTCAGATGGGGAATGTGTTTGTTTTTTGATTCCTATGGTAAAGTGAAGACACTTGGTTTTTCCAAACATGATGGAAATTGTGTTCAGGGACTTGCTTGTGAAAAGATTGCAATACAGGATAGAAAAACTGGACAAGCTGAACTCAAAACAAAGATAGACTGTGCAGACCAAATAAAAAAAGAGCAGCATTCATAGAATGCTAGAATCAACAGATGGTTTCAGTTGGAAGGGACCTTGAAGACCATCTCATTCCAACCCCTCTGCCATGAGCAGGTACTCCTTCCACTAGACCAGGTTGCTCCAAGCCCCATCCAACCTGGCCTTGAACTCTTCCAGGGATGAGGCATCCATGGCTTCTAACTGGACAGTCTAAACTACCCATGCTCCCTCTCAATCAGTGCTGCAGACCCTGAGTGAGGCTGGCAGGGAAACCTCAACCCCTTTCACAGCAACCTGCAGTGCCCCACAAAGCTTCTCCCTGTGGACACGCTTCACTTTTCCACCCCACCACTGCCCCAGGGGGACACTTGGCACAGCCAGTGTTAAGACTGGAACTGAGGCATCAAAAAACAGAGGAAAACATGAGAATGATTTCCAGTACTGATCACTGATGTGTCCTCCGATGATCTGTGTCAAGCAGTAGCCCCAGAAGAAGCTGCTGAGCACGACCCCAGACTGCTTCTTGTCCCAGTCGAAGTAGGAGCTGAGGGCGACGGCGCAGATGGGCACGGTGACACGGGCACAGTACAGCAGGCACGTCCCCAGCAGCAGCATCACCGTCCACACACGGGACTCGGGCCTGTGAGGGTGGAGAGGAAGATGGGGAAAGGGCAGCTGGGATGCTGTGCCTGGTAGGTCCATGCACAGAGAGGACTTACGGGTTGGGCCGGTTTGCTTGCGAGCCACATCTGTCTTGATAAAATGAAGGTCCTGCAACCCCCCTGTGGCACAAGGGTTCTGACACAGAGAGTATCCCACCTGGTGGCTTTTGGGAATGATGCTAACTTCAGCCCAAACAATATTTGACACCGATAGCAAAATGACTGTCCACAGGCTGCAAGGTGGAAGGGGCTGCTTGGACATCACTGGCTGTGGATGGAGGGAAAGGTGGGGAGGAACCTGGTTTGTTTGCTTTTCTTCCCCAAACAAGAAACTGTTCTTTAAAAGATAAGGGTAACGAAGGAAAGGTCAGGGCCTGAGGTGGGACAGCATTTGCATGAGACACACCATCTTGATAGCAAATATTTGTTATTTGGCATTCCTACCCAACCCCCAAGGGAGCTGGTGTGTGTGCTACCCTTCCTAAATAGGAGAGAGATGAAGGAATTCTTTAGAGAGACAACACATGATGGGGCTGAAGAGCTCAGAGAGAGGAGCAAAATAATTCAGCCTGGCCTGATAAGAAGTTTTAGGTAACATGAGCCATAATATGTTAACAGAATATGTTATTTGGTACATGAGCACTCAGCCCCAAGAAAAGTGCTCCTGCAGGAGATATAGGCTGGAAATAAGTGGGAAGGCAATTTTCTCCTGCTCCAAGTCAGTGATGTGCTTCTGGAGCAAAGAAACACATTTTGCTGCAAACATCAGGCCCAAGTGTAGGTGAATCCCTCTGCCTTCCCTCAGCCCAGCTGGTGTCACTCTGGGTCCCCCTTTGCCCATGACTTATGGAGTCAAAAACTTAGTAAGAACACACACTATTGGTATTATTTGTATTTGGTTATTTCTATGCCCAGAGGCCAGAGCACAAAGCAGTGAGCAAATAGACTCTCTCTGCTCCAGAGATGGCTGAGGAATTCACTGTACCAGGGCAGCAACCTCTGGGCTTTCCACCCTACTAAACACACCCACCATCCGTGTGGGAAACAACCCGGGTCACCTTTTATAGCGAATGGAGCATTTATTCCTCTGTACTGGAATTATGATAAATGTAGGTTAATACCACACAGCACAAACCCATTTATAAAGGTGTCAAACGGAACAATGAAAAGTAGAACACGGTGGGCAGGTGAACCCGCTGGAGGTGGATTTATTGCTGTTTCCTGACAAGGCAGATAAGCAGCTCAGTGCCAACCTCTGGCAGGAGGGATTGCAAGGGTTTCAGTTGGTGTTTTGAAGGTTGGAACCATTGTTGCTGTGCACACACACGAGTGCACAAAATAACACAGGAACTGGAAAACCTCACGCATTTCTGCTGGAGGAATAAGTAACCAGGGGTTGACCTGCCTCTGCCACTTCAACAGGCTGGTAAATGCTCTCACAGTCCCTCTTGGGCTTACCCTGAGAGGGAGATATCTTCACTCATATCCTCATTTGCTGCAAAACCAAAGGTGATGTGGTTTTGGATAACCTGCCCCAGCCAGCTCCAGGAGCAGTGGCTCCGCCAACTCCTGCTTGCTACAGAAAAGCACAGGGAAACCAAAGGCTCCTGGACACCGTGTCCAGGTCAGACCAACCCCAGCAGGACAATACGGGCAGGAGTTTTTGGGTATAAATCCCCCATCAGAGGCAGAGGGCAGGTGTGGGATCACCAGCCATGGAAAATGTTATGGAGAGCCCTCAGGGATGAGATGCTTGCAGGTACAAGTGACAGACTCGTGCCTGCCCTGCCCAAACGGGCTGTTGCCAGTCCAGGGCCATAATCTCTCCTGTTATCTCCAGTGGCACAGCACTGATAAATTTGAGCTATTGAACCTGCAACAACCGAGGTGACAGAGCAAAGCACAGCAGCCAGTGATGTGTGTAGGTATTTTCTATTATTTGGGCACCAAGACAGTTTTCTAAACTGTGCTTTTCCCCTGCAGCAAAGAGAGACCTTTATGAGCTTTCACTGGAGTGGGGTTGAGCTCTGCCTCTCCAATCACTCTGGTGTGTTCACAATAACCCCCAGTTACCCTGGCAAGCACAGCAGCATTTTAATGGGATATGAGATTGACAGTTCTTCCTTGTCCCCAAACTCTATATGGCTGTGCAAAGCGTAAGCTTGACGCGAGCAGCTCAACTGTTCTCTACTCCACTTCTCTTTATAGTATTGCCAAGGTCTGTTCCCTCCAGAGGGTGTTTGCAACTGGGTAAAGCAAAACCCACACACAGCAAAGTCGGTGTCCTAGGAAAGTGCAGACCGGGGGAGCACAGTTTGGTCCTAAGGGATTGAACCCCAGAAGAGATGAGCAGGGCAGCTCTGGCTTCAGGGCAGAGGCACAGGAGGGCATGCTGTGAACTCACAGCTTCTATTCTTGCCTCTGTGAGGTGGAGAGTGTCACCCAAGGGGGTTTGGGGTGGGGGGAGGCAGCCAGGCCAGCACTGCTGGGGTCTCTACACAGCAAGTCTGACCTGGATGAGAGCAGGGGCACAAAGTGCCACGTGGGTCTCTGCAGAGCAGGACAACACTCAAAGCACAGCTCAGATACAGAGGGACTCCCAAGTAGAGATGTTCTCCCAAGAAGCCTCCTCTGCAGCTGATGTTTTGACAGAACTCCAGGGAATATTTTTCTCTTGACTTTTATTCTTTTTCCAAAGCACTAAATAAGTCTCTGGGTATATGACACAATCTCAATGTTCTCTTTGACTACTAATCCATCCTATATTCTTTTCCTGTATGTTATAATGCATCAGTAGAGACTTAGGCCCAAATCAAGTGGGAACTGTAACAACATCTTCAGACTACCACTTCCTCCATAGGTGGCATATCCAGCTAGGAAAATCCACGCAAATAATGAGAGTGTCAAATGTAATCAGTAGCTGCCCACACCCACCTGAAAGCATGGCAGGAATGATTTCTCTGCCAGGACAATGACATGCTTGCATCAGAGGAAAGAGCTTTGTAAATACATTTTCTCCTAATTATAGCTATCACAGAGGCTGCTGATGAGTCAATGTTCTGCTCAGTGCAAAACAACAACAGCAAAGGTTACAGGAGGAACCTGGACTAGCACAAAGGGAGGAATTAAAACCCTCCTTCAAAAACTAAGGAATAATGACAAATCAAACAAAAGTTTTTGTGGGTGACACCTGCCATCCGAGAAGCAGAGCTTCACCAGTGTTAACAAATTAAATTTGATGGGTCCCCTGATGAGGGAGGGAGGGAGGGATAAGCTGTGCTGGAAACAATCACCCTGAGTCAGAGCAAAGCACATCTGAATCTATGGAAGTCACAGCCGTTGTTGTCCTGTCTCACCAGCCACAGGGACAGACAGAGCATCTCCCCACAGCCCTGTGCCAGTCCTGGCCAAGCCCTGGCTACATGTGACAGACACCCAGTGAGAGGGGCCAGCCCTCCAGACCATCAGCAGGTGAATCACTGGAGCGTGTCTGGAGCCACCTAATTGCCTTCACTGGGTGCTGTGTGACAGCAGCAGCTCCTCACTGCCCAGTCTGTGCCCTCCTGATCCTTCATCCCCTTCTGCTCACAAGAGTCAGGCAGGTGCATCCCCTTCTCACCCAGACCCTCTTCACCAAGCAAAGCAGTCATGCAGCCAGAAAACACTTCCTATTTCACAAACCTCCAACCACCACCCAGACAGAGACAATTAGCTCAAGCCCTAATGACTCATCCTGGGTGGCTTTTTTGTATGGCAGCAGCCCTGCCTGATGTTCCTTGGTTCTCCTCCTCCAAATGCAGCCCCAGGCACTGAGTGGATATGGCTTTGCTTCGAAGCATCCACTGATTTCCCTGGGACCCAGCTCCCACCAACCTAATGGATGCCCCGCCCAGGGCATGGTGGTTAGGGTGGATTTTCAAGGATGCCTGAGATTCCCAAAGGGACAAAACCAAGCTGAGCCATCCGGCAGTGGAAGGAGAGCCAGCAGCACAGGCTATCTTTATTTGCAGTGCGTTTTCCTGCTGGAGGAATTTCTCCAGTAGATGCCACAGAGCAAATATTTACTCAACTTTATTTCTCTTGACTCGCCTCCCTCCTTTCCCCCAGCGTGCAGGGCTGTTGGCAGACACTGCAGGTCACTGTTGAGATGGACCTGCTGGAGCTCAGGCAATCAATTAGATCACAGTTTGGCCCCCTCCAAGGCACAAGTCTGGACCGCTGGGTATTTTCAGGTGGTAAGAGAGCTGTGTTAGAGAGCAAGACTACAAACAGTCTGTCCCAGCAACAGCTCTTGGCCAGAAGCCATATCCAATGTTTGTGGGTGTTTTCTATAACTGGCAGAAGAATTGGGAGCTGCAGCTCCTGATCTGCATCGGATGGGCACAGGTATTGATAGCACAGAATTAACACCCTCCTCCCAGGGAGGGCATCTCTACCTCAGCTCCCCTCTCTAAAAACAGATAAAAACAGTTCTGTGGGAGATGCGTGGCAAGTACATCACTGGAGTCACCTCCAGTGCCCGCAGCCCTCTTGCTCATCCCAGACACCACTCACCAGACCCTGCAAGAACCCCAGAGCAGGATGGGGATGAGCCCATGTGGTGGCACTGAGCTCCCAGCCACGCCACCAGCTCCAAACCCAGGACACCCAAGCATGAGGCCACCTCCAGGGGAATGTCCCCAGGACACACAGCCAGTGCCTGTGAGTTCCCCTGTGCCTGGTCACCTGTCACACCACAGTATGGGAACGTTTCCCTCCTCGTCAGCCATTCCCAGCTCCGTGGGATCTTCACCCTTCAAAAACCTTTTTTCCAGCTTACCTGCCCATGGCTTTAATTTACAGTGACCTCCAACACAACCAGGACTGACTGACATGGCACAAACACAGCAGCCGTGCACACTCCTGTGTGACGAGATAATACCCAGAAAGTTATTTTTAACCCAGTTTGACAGTCCTCTCACTTCTCACTCTTTGTTTTTCTCGACAACAATTTCTCCTTCCCTTGAAAATCTAACATGCTTGTCAGGAGAGAGGTTTCCCCCCCCCCCCTGGAGTTTATTTTGTCATGCTGCAGACTGGCTCCAAGCTAATGATCTGTCGCTGTCAAAAGTAGCTTTGGGGTTTAGAGGAGGTTTGCTTGGTTGGTTTTTTTTTTTCCCAATCCAGCTAGCAGCCAACAAGAGCAGCACAGAGGACACAGGGCTTTTTTTTCCTGGGAAAGCTGTTGGCTTCCTGTCCGCCTCCTGTGCTCAAGCTCCCTCCTCAGAGCCACAGATGGCAACAAAGTGGTGTTCAGCAAGAGAGCTCTGGGTTTATTCCCTCTCTTCATTTCTTGCTTTCGGCAAAAGCAAAGATGAAATTAGATTTCATCAGCTCATATGAGCTGGAAATAGTTATTGAGTCCAGGTGGAGGTGGTGAGAAAACATAATAATGAAGCACAGGTGTGCTTTACACACTGATGTGAGGACATACACGGATCAGCCAGGAATGAAATGCATGTCCAGCTTACATTTTCCACGTGAAAAAAGTTCTCACCAAGGTCAAGATTAAAACTAGGGTGAGGAACTTGTACAATAAAAATCCCAACCACCAAAAAAACCCCGACCAGATAAAGCTGCAACATCACGTGTACAAAAGATCAGAGCACAGAACTCCTAAAACAACATGACCGTTGTCTCCGGGCAAAGAGCAGGTCAGGCGACTGGAGACCAGCCTGTGGCCGATGGTAAGACTCCTTTTATCTCTGGAGCTTAAAGAAACTGCTATAATCACCCCTTGTCTTCAGGTGTAGCCAGAGGCTGGGAGATGGAGAGCGGTTTCAGGAGTCATTTGCTTCCCAGGACACAGCGACTTCTTCACGTTGTATTTCTCTCCTGGAGGCACCATCCAAAATGTGAGCCCCACGTCCACTGCTGGATCTGCTCGTGGCTTTGTGTGCAACCTTCAGCAATTGATTTGTCTTCTCACTGCTTCGATCCTTCCCCCAGTTAAACCAGAGATGCTTAAACACATCCACTGCCTGAGTGGTCCTGCTTTGGCATGTTAAGATCAGCATTAATAAGCACTCTCTAACTGTCCAGATGTGCTACATAAACACGCGGGCTTTTTCAAGCCCCAAGTGGAAATCCTCAAGTGCTGTTCTTAAAAGACGAGATGTGTGATAAAGGAGCCATCGGAAACCTACAGAAAAGTTGGGGAAAGGCAGGAGAAAAGACAGGGCAAGAATAGTGGAAGAGGAAGGAAAAGCCATCTGAAAAAAGGGAGGACAAAAGAAGCAGCAGCATGAACAAAGACGGAAAAAGAAACCTGCCAAGATAAGAGTTTATCTCTCCTTGCACTGATGGTGGGGACTGATCTTGGAAGGCTGCCTGGCATGCCTTTTGTTGGAGCATGAAAGGAGAACCCGTGTCACTTCCCCAATTATTAACACCTTGCCTCCATGGCAATAACTCACTACTTGGAAATCTTTGCAAAACTGTCCACCAAACCACTCAGTGAGGTACTTTAGAGAACTCGAGCAACTTGCTCAAGTGATCTGGTGCATCGCTCCCCCTTTCTGCTCCCCCTGTCCCACACTCCACCTGCCCAGTTTACTTAGGCAATAAAAACTCCATAAAACCTCCCCAAATAAGGGCTGTGACCACGTGTGTGTCTACATCAAACAACGGGGACATGAACTCAGCTTCTGTGAATTACAGCAATATAGATAATGATCTGATGGGCTTTAGGGATATCCTGCTGCTCCCTCCCATTAACAGGCTTTTCACAGCACTTAAGATGGTCAGAATCACTTAAAATACTTATGTCTTAATCAACGGGCTGTCTTCATCGCAGTCCATTTTGTTTTGGAGCAGTTATCAATGGTTTGCATTTTCTGAAGAGATTTGGAGGGCTTGTTCTGGTCAAATATATTAATTTTATTTTTTCTAGAGGAAAAACATCTAAACTAAAGTTTTGCTTCACAAAAATCTGCTGTGGGGTCCCCCCACCACCACTCCCACTTCACAAAGACTTAGGGAAAAGTTAGCAAGAGGGAGACAGAGAGAAGGAATCTCCTAAGTGCTTTAGGGGGAAAGAATCTTCAAATTTTAAGCACCCCAAGTGCCAAAGGCCTTCTTGAGAATCACCTCCTTACTCTTGAGATGAGTGTGGGTTTGATTAGACTTCCCTTGGGATGGCAATTTAAAACCGGCTATGGACCTGCTGCCACTGCAGGAAGCAATTGATGCCAATTTATCCAACGGTTAATTGCAGCTGGAAGGGGCGATTCTTCCCTTTGGCCACATGTTCCCGTGCATTGGCACCGCTGTCACCTGCCCTGTGGCTGCCCCTCTGCTCTCCTGCCAAGGCGAGTTCACCAGGAGTTCACACCAGCCCGGAGGGCAGAGGGGAGCCCCAGGGGTGGCACCGCGGTGGCAGCCACACGACAGCTCCTTTTCATGGCAGTGTTAAACTGAGCCAAATTTCAAAAGCACATGGAGTCCAGGGACTCCCAGTTTGGAAAACCCTCTGACCATCACTTCCAGCTGCCCCACTGGTACTTTGGAATCATCATCTCATCCAACCTTCGGTGGGAGAAGGGGCAGATCCTGAGGTCGAGGATGACATTCCCAGCGTGACAGAGAGGAGCAGCCCTGTCCCAAGTGTCCCAGTTTCTGCTCCAAACACTGGAGCACCCCGTGTTTGCCCGTGTCCCTGTTGTTAAAAGTGGTCAGTTTGGGCTTAATCGTATTTTTAAGTATTTTAATTACTTTACTTAAGGAGCAGTTCAAGCTGTCTAGCTGCTGCCCAGCTACTATATCAGACTTTATCTTAATGAATGAATATCGCCAGTACAAACATCCCCGCTGGAACACTTTGATAAGAACTTGACAGCGGTTTCCCGTTTGATTCACTGACAATAGGCCAGAAATAAACTCAACAGACGTTTTTCCCCCGTGTTTCACATCAATTCCCTATCTCCCCCCTTCCTTCTACCGTCTCTGTTGAAGTCCGGCGTGGTGAGACAGCGGGTGGGACCATGTCCCCCGACCCCGTCCTGCGGCACCCCCGGAGGGCAGCGCCGGGGCCGGGGAGAGGGTCTGGGCCCGACGGGGAGCACCGAAACCGCCGCGCCACCCCTTCCATTCAGGAACCGCATCCTTCCCAGGAGCTGCGGGAGGAGGGCACCGAGGATGCGGCGGGTCCCGGGGCCGGGAGGGCACCGGCCGGCGGGATGCGGGGAGAGCCCCGCGAGCAGGGGAGCGGCTTTCCCGGGAGCGGGTCCAGCCTTACCTGGACCAGTACGGGTCTCCATCGCGCCTCATGCCGTCGTGGGGGCCGCGCTCGGCGGTGCCCAGGGGCACATTCCTGCCGCCGCCCCCCGCGGCCATGCGGGCAGCGCCTTCCGCCTCCCCGGCTCACATCGCGGCGGCCGCCGGGCTCCCTCCCCCGCCGGGCCGGCCACGTGTCAGCGCCTCCCGCCGCCCCCGCCCGCCGGTCGTTCCGGGAAGTCCCGCCAGCCCCAGTCCCTATCCCGGGGCAGCCTCGGACCCGCAGGGCTCGGCCCGGGGCAGGCGACGTTCGCCCGCTCCAACCCCCACGGACGGCTGGGATCTGCTCCTTTCCTCCCCCTCCTGTAATTACGGACACCCCCGTGGAGGGCAGGGAAAGAGGGGACTGTCCAGGGTGTGTCCTGCCCCTCCGATACCTGGGAGGGGAATCCCCTCCCTGCTCTCACAGCTTTCGCAGCTTTGCCGGCTGAAAAGTCTCTGCTTTTTAAAGGATTGGAACAGAGTATGGTATTCCCATCCGAAGAATTTGAGGAAAAATTAAATAGGGGTAAGTATTCTTATAGTTTGATCTAACTTTGTTGGATAGAAGTGCTGCCTTGTTGTAAGTATCTGAAAGAGATAATCAGGCTCCTCTATGGACATAAATAATTAAAATGATGTTATCTCGGTCCAAAACAAAAGGACTCGTGACTCATTTCAAGAACATGAACGAGCAGGCGGAGGAGCCTTGTTAAGACATCGTTCAGGCGATGCTGTGGCCGATAGCAGCCTGGATGCAGGCACGGCAAAACTTCAGCTCGGCAGAGGATGGAGGAGCTCCCGCACAGCCTGAGCAAGGTCGTACATGGCCCTCGGGAAAGGTACTTGAGCTTCTGGGCTGCACCAAAACGCGCAGGTGCAGGGCAGACACCTCCTGCCTACTGCTCCTGCTGCCAGCAACCTCTAAATGCTTGTTCTTAAGCCTTTAGCAGACTATTATTTAGGTAACTTACACAACGTGAATCTTTGGCAGGTCCCTGATGAGCAGTCTGCTATTTAAGTCATGAGGGAGAACAGTATTATTGAGCTGAACCTTTGAGAGTGGAATAGCAAAAGGGTTTTACACCAGAGGCAGCTCCAGGAGAAGAACTTTGCAGAAAAAGCAAAAATCATTGTCATACTTTATCCTTTGCTTTGGTATTTCTTACTCAGAAGAGAGAGATCTATCCCAAAGGCCTGTGACAGTCACATACGGTCACAGACCTGCTACCGACAGAGAAAACAAATAAAACAAGCTTTTACTGAGGGGAACCACGTGTAGTAACCACAGGTTAGCCTTTATCTGGTTGTAGGCTTCCCTCCCTTTATTTGGGCAGGAAACAAAACTATGAAGTATTTTTATTCACTCTGCTACTGTGCCCGTTTCCAGAAGAGGGAGCCAAGTCATGGTAAATTGCATCCAAACATGTAAACCCCTGTTCAATATGTTGTTTATTTTTTTTTAAATTGTGTGTATGTTTGGAGTTCAGTTAATTCGAGGCAGGAGGGGAGATGAGCACTGATGTAACTACATGAGTGATATGCATGTAATAAGCTCAGAAAAGGATTGAAAAGGTCTTGGGCATGGTAAAGCAATGACAAATACCGAAAACTTATACCCAGGTATGAGTTATACTGTGTTCAGTCTCACAGCTGTGGGGTGCAAACATCTCCAACACTGACACTGTAACACTGAATCGTAATTTTAGTGAGTGAGTAGTCAATCTGGAAGTCAAGCACAAGTTTTCTTTCTTTGTGTACTCTTTGGTTCCTCTCCTTGTACTACTCAGTGTCACCTCTTCAATTAGGAGCTTGACTAATTTGCCTCTCTAATCAGAAGCTACTTTCACTGTCAAAACCAGCTGCAGTTGAAAGAAGTGTTTCAGTGTAACATCCATCACATGCACATAAATAAGTTTTAAAAGTAAAAACACAGACATAATTCCTTTTATGGCTGTATGATTTTCTGGAAGCAAACCTCCCACTGGGCTGATTAAATGGCAAATGGAATCAGCTCAGAAGACAGGTGCTGACTACAGAAAATAAAAATAATCTTACACAAGAACATAATCTCCTCCCGTTTTTCCTGTGTTCAGCTTAATCTGTCAAAAGATTAAACCAAACAAAAGATTATTGGGTTAATATTTGACCTGACATTTACTATCACTGTAGTTTATCCACACAATGGTTGAATTATTTGAAGATTTTAGGAAGTTAAGCACAGATCAAGAGCAAATCCTGAAGGGGTGTGAAAGGAGCAATAGGCTCACACATTCCACAAAGGACAATTGTTGTCTCCTGAAAGGACAGGCCGGCTGCAGCTTGAAAGCTCCCTGCTAACCCAGAGCAGTCTCAAGCAACTTGTCCACATAATAAAGGAAACACATGTGGGTTTCTACTGCTGAATAATCCAACTTTGCAAAATCACTAGCCAACAATACACTGAAAAATAAGAAAATTCATCCAGGGGGGTATAAGGTAGCAGGATAGTGAATCCCCATGTAACATGAAAAGCACAACACGCAGGGCTTTCTCATCCAACGTGCCTGAACGCATCAACACGCAGCCCACCAGTAGTTTGACAACCTTGTCCTTAATTTTATTGTATGAAGGCAGGAGGGGAGCTGAAAGGAATGAAAATATTTTGTAGCACCTCGAGGTGTCCATGGGGAAGTATAAATCCTTCTGAGGGTGCTGCTCGTGAGCTTTGTGTTCAGTCTGTGCTCAGCTGAGCACACAAAGCAGTGAGAGGAGAGGAACAGGGCTGGGGACACTGCTCAACACAGCGAAAAACCCTCCTGGTCCCTTTTCATTAAGGAGATTAGAGCACAAACAATTACTGACGCTGGCATGGCTTCTGAGGGTAGGGAGATCTACAGTGCAGGTCACAACCTGTAGCCTAGAGGCAGATGTAGGGCAAAACCTGACTCCATCCCCTTCCCTGTGCTGGATGTGAAGGATGCTCTCAGCCGTGGCTGACAGCAGCAGCCCCAGTATCTGCGAAGACACGACACAGGGACCGCGCTCCAACTCTGTTTAATGAGCTTCGTAACCAGCTTGGACAGAAGGAGGTTTGAAATAAGTCAAACAACACTCATCTAGTCAAGGTTGTTTTTTTTTTAAGTAATGCCTTTAAGCTTATACTCAAGCATACAAAGCATAAATTTTACAAATTAAAAACAATAAAATCACCCTAGAATAATGTAATGGCTTCCCCTGTATGTACAAGGAGTGGAAAGGAGGCAGAATTCTTTCCAGGTAATTTCACACATTTCAAATGCTACATAAATGCTCTCCACAAGCTTTTCAATTTTTCTTTCAATGTGGGTGGAAGGAGCTGAAAGTGTTTCAATGAAATCATCTTAAAGAGAGAGAGGTACTTCACCTGGCTTCAAGGTGTGTGTTTGCCTCTTCAAAAGTCTTGAGAGGAAATGCTTTACTCAAAATTCTGCTGTTAGTTTCTGTGCAGCAGCCTCTGCTTTTCCAGCTATGTAAAAATTAAGCAGTTCAGTATTTCTCAAAGTACCACCAGCACTTCATCTTCAGGGAAGCCTGTGATCCCCCACCCTTCACAAATCTCTCCATTGTACAACAGAAGCAACCACAGCTCAGCTTAGATTTGACAGGCAGAAACAAAACACGGGAACAGCAAAGACAGTTACCAGGGAGGTGATGGCTTTGGGAAAAGGAGGGAGATTTGTAGCCTAATCAAAACACACTTACTATGCAGCCTTTCTGCAGGGGCATATGACAGGATATTTTACAACCCAACTGCTTCACATACAAAGCGTTAATGAAAAAAATCTTATTTGCTTTCACCAAAGGCAAGGCTGGGGGAGGACGAGTGAGTGCACCACCCTTAATGACCAGATCTGTCTGCCACCGTTGAGTTTGGAACAAATCTTCTTTACAAAAGTGATTTTCATATTGTTCTAAATTCAGTGGAACAAAATATGTATTTTTACACTAAAGAAAACCGATCAAAGTGGCATTTAATAATATTTGTTAAAGTGGTTATCTAACAAAAATGGGTTAACAAAAGCCCATTCATTAGTAGTCACCAAATAAGACACTTCTCATGCATATGACAAAAGTTCATTCGTGTACTGAGACGTCTGTTTACTGTGTACAATATTTCCATAAATTATATGTTTCACAGCCCCTACCATTCAAGAATATTTCAAACAGATTATATATTATATTTGTATATGCAAACTATTTTATATACACTAATATAAAGATCCTTAGAAGTACCAATATCACTACCTTTATGCTTTCTCTAAAATGCATAGCTTTCGAATATCTTCTTGCAGTTACCAAAAACTTTACAGATTAAAGCTGCTTATCAATGTGGCATGTTCATAAAAACAAAGTGAAATAGTTCTAGACTAATTTTATATTAAACCCCCTTAAAAAACGTGTTTATTTTTTAATGGAAAAAACCAACAAGCTAGTGAAAATTCAAGTAAATCTACGCTCAATCGTTGCCCAAATACTCTATGGAATTAACTTAGCGTGCTAGGAGTACAGTGAACTTCTCACCCAGGGCTGTAATACTGCATTTCTCATGGAGAAAAATGCTAGTCATGCCACAAAACCGCACCACTTTCCACTTCACCTGGGAGAAGCTTGACATGAGACTCAACAACACAAGTGTCAGAACAGAGGAAAAGCTGATCAGTTCTATATGAAGAAAGTAGAGCTATTCCAGTTTTGTTTCTGCAGTTTGTTATTAAACAAAGTTACATTAACCATACAGTTTCTCACAAACTAAAAGTTATACATGGTTTTCAGACATCAACCGACTTCAAAAAGAAAAAAAAAATAATTAACAAAAACCCCCAAAACAACCAAACCCACAACTGTTAAAAGTTTGGTGTTAGAATAACCAGCCTGGGTGAAGGAAAGCCAGGCTGCTGCTGTAGCTGGGGGGCTACTGACAGCTTGTTTGTTATATATAAACTTTAAGACCTCCATACCACAAATGCCTCAAAGTGGAGAACAGAACGATCAGTAAGAAATGGGAACAAATGATTTTGTTGCATCCATCATCTCGCTTAACCTTGGTGCTCTGCATCTCTCATAGCTGCTTAACAAACAATGGCTTCCCCCCACCCCCAAAAATAGCTACACAAGTAAAGTGTTCACAGTAA